TGCCTGATACGCCTGAAGCACCGCCATCATGTGCAACGAAGCGACAGCCTGACCTGCTGCTGTGTATGCCCTGCCATTTAAGAGAGATGTATCCTGAAGGGGCTTAGATGGCAAGGAGGGAGTCTTAAGAGAGGATGTCTCACCCATAGAGAGCAAGCTAGCCAGCGTCTCTTCTACAGGGGGCATCTTCTCATAGAGATCTCATGAGATCCTCTCATTTCGCGCATCCCCTCGATGTTGGCATAACTCGTATGCTGGAACCGCAGCATCATATGACCCCTTTAAACTCATCTGCCAGATCCGCCTGCGATCCCCACGAGGTCATTCTCCTCCGTGCCTCAGCAGCGGCGGGTCCTGAACCGCGGGGAGCAGACGGCTGCCCCTCTCTCCTCAAAAAGAGAGACAAACGAGAGCGGAGCTTTTTCATCGAAAAACGCTCACAGTTAACGCAGATTGCCCCCTCGAGGACATTGTGTGCCTGCTCTTCGCCCAAACAAGACGCAAATATCGTGTGTCATCAGGTTTCAAATAAAATGAAGACGAAGAAGAGAATGACGTGTTCTCCCGGCGCCTATTTACACTATAGTCGCACCAGTAGTGACGTCATGGGCTGTTGCCGGCCAACATGTTGTTGGTGTTTTTTGAATGTATGCTTCAGACACGGGTCACGACGAGGCGTTCCCCATAGCGACCCCTAGAGGACGCAGTTCCAAGTTCCCTTGAAAGGGAACTAAAGTAAAAAAGTAAAAAAATAATTAAAAAACTATCATATATGCTTTATTTACCTTTGAGGTCCACTTAGAATGGTTTAGCATGGCGCAGCATTGGCATCTATAATTCAGGTTATAAATTCATAGTTAATGTGAAAAGTGTAGTGGTTGTGAAGGTGACAATGATTTAATGATGATAATAATATTTGCATAAACATACAATTACCCATCTGGATGAATCCAAAGAAATAAAAGTTTAGATTCTCATGCAGCTGTCACATTTACGTTCTGTTTTCAAGAACGTGTATGTTGATATGTATTTCTGCTTCGTTTGGTTCTGTGTCTTGTTTGTCACCTTGTTTTCCCCCAGTGTACGTATTTATAGCCCTCAGTTTTCAGTTGTAGTTTTCCAATCTCATTGTAACATTGGTTAGCTTTAGCTGTCCCTGTACTCCAATGAACACAAGTCTATAGTGAGGCATTACTAATTAAAATGAAAGCAATACCCTGTATTTCTCAATGTCTTAATCACTTAAATGACGTGACTAATTTTGAAAAATCAAAATCAGAATTTTCACCTACAGATTATATTCAAATAAGGCAACTTATATTTTCTTTCATACATTTTGAGAACAGCTTACTCTCACTAAGAACTGCTTACTCTCATCTCTTCAAGTCTGCATGGAATGAAAATTTATGTTGTAAAACTCAATGTGAATGATTAATCCATATCAGTTTCATTTTTTAAAAATAAAAACATTGTAATCTTTTATCAAAATGGCATCTTCCATTGAGAATGACAGATTTTGTTTCATTGTGTCTTTTAATTATATTAAAATGCTGTGGCGTGTGTCCGAGAGACTGTGCCACTGATTATATTTTATACACAAAATTAAAACAAGCTAGATCTACATTCGGAGGATAATTTATGTGTTCTCATATCGCCCAGCCCTAAACAGGTACCTAATACAGTTTTAACTGCTTTTCCCTTGATTTTTTTTTTCTCACAATTTGCCTTTAAAAAAAATATATATAATATCCGTAATATTCATTATGCTTCTTCCATATTACAAATGACTGGCGAGCCAAGTTTTCAGAAATGTTGTTGTTGTGGGGTTTTTTTTTCTGAAGCTTAGTTTTGATATATGCTGCACAAAAATATGTTTTGACTTGTGAAGATATGTTTACACTATACTGCTTAATTATTGATTCCTCCTGATTCCTCCCCCTTTCAAGGAGTTGAAGTAATATTTAGTCCATGAAAAAATGCTTTTGTCTTTTTGCTTTGACATATGTGACATGTGAGTGCAGCCTGAAGCAGTTTTTAATCTTTGTATCTTTGAGGCCTTTTCCTCCTGATCCCATACACTTAGCGCTGACAGGGTGATGAGATGTTTGCCTGAATTTCTGCTCTGTTTTTTCCAGATCTGACAGATGGATCTTCCACTCAAAAGCAAATGGTGTTTGGAGTGGTGACAGCCATTGATCTCCTCAACTTTGTGACGGCTCGAGAGAAAAGAGAGAGATCTGTGTCAGAATCAACAGATGAATACTGAAGGCATTAGAGCACTTCCTGTCCTAATCTGAATGTGATGCACTACAAAGAATCATAATGTTAAAGCTATAGATGTCATTATAGTTATTGCACCTAAATTTGGGCAGTAGGATTGGGTGGCATTGCTTCTTAATATTATATTTCTTGCTTATCTTTTTTATAGCCAATAATTATGTAAACGTTTACAAATGTTGTTAACAATTATTAACAAATCTTAAAGGGATAGTTCACCCCAAAATGAAAATTCTGTCATCATTTACTCACCCTCATGTCGTTCCATTATTATTTTTGGGTGAACTATCCCTTTAACAAATTATGTTTAAGGGCAAAACTGGGTCTAAAATTATGTTTTTACTAATAATTTACATCACTGGATATAAATACTAGTTACTGGCCATGGATGTGTATTTCGCATTGTATTATTCCAAAACTATTTGTTTTAGTCAATGTGACAATTATTGCGGTTTGTTTTTTTGCATATTTTTACAAACGGTGCTGACAAAAAGTCAGTGTCTCACTGTATTCTGTGCTAAAGCTGCATCTGTCACAAAAAACGAAAAAGTGATTGAATTTGGTATTTTCATTTTGGTTGTTTAATAATGTGAGAAATATTTGACATACAGTGGGCAAAATAAGTATTGAACACGTCACCGTTTTTCTCAGTAAATATATTTCTAAAGGTGCTGTTGACTTGAAATTTTCACCAGATGTTGGTAACAACCCAAGTAACCCATACATACAAAGAATTTTAGAAATTAAGTTCTGTGTAATAAAATGGAATGACCCAGGGAAAAAGTATTGAACACATGACGAAAGGGAGGTGCAAAAAGGCATGGAAATCCAAGACACCAGCAGAAATCTATCAGTAATTAGAAAGCAATCCTGCCCCTTGTCAGTGGAAATTAATATTAGCTGGTTAAGTCCCAACACCTACAGTACCAGGATGATGAAGATGAAACAAGGGTGGACATTTCAGCAAGACAAATGATCCAAAACACAGCCAAGGAAACTCTCAATTGGTTTCAGAAAAAGAAAATAAAGCTTCAAGCCCTGTCAATCACCTGACTTCAATACAATAGAAAATAAGAACTATAGATCAGAGTTCATAGAAGAGGCCCACAGAAGCTTCTAGATTTGAAGACTGTTTGTGTGGAAGAATGGGCCAAAATCACACCTGAGCAATGCATGCGACTAGTTTCTCCACACAGGCGGCGTCTTGAAGCTTTCGTTACCAACAGGCTTTTGTCCAAAGTATTAAATACATTTCAGTAAGCCTTTTCAATACTTTTTCCCTGTCATTCCATTTTATTACACATAACTTCATTTTTGAGATTATTTGTTTTGTTTTCTTTGTATGTATGGGTTACTTGGGTTGTTACGGACATCTGGTGAAAATTTCATGTCAACAGCACCTTCAGAAATATATTTACTGGGAAAAATGGTGACGTGTTCAATACTTATTTTACCCGCTGTATGTCACCACATGTAATTCTGCAGGAACAAATTGTAGGCACCCTGGATGAACCTCTTCCACTGAGGTAAAAGTTGTTACAGGTTATAAAGCAAGGGTGTACACTCCTTCTCCTGGAGGGCCACTTTCCTGCAGAATTTAATTCCAATATAACTGCCTGGAAGTTTCTAGTGTTTTTCTTAAAGACCTTGATTAGCTGGTTCAGGTGTGTTTAATTGGGGCTAGAACTAAACTTTGCTTGAAAGTGGCCCACAAGAAACGGGTTATGTTGTTAACTTTTATAACCTTTACACTGTGTGCACAATTATTAGGCAAGTGATGATTTTGACCATATCATCATTTTATCCATAATTTCCAAGTCCAACAAGTTAATCGATGTGATGTTACAGTATCAACCCCAGTAAAGGCAAGTGGCTTTGGCACAAAGTGTTAAACCAAATTGTTCAGGGTAGAGTACATGTTGATGTAGTAGTTCATGAAAAATTAGTTTACCAGCATTGTTGAATGTTGTTTCTAAATTTGCTTTCTTTACTGTAGCCTTCATACTGCATTGTATAAAAAAGTTGGTACAGTGGTATATTACAAAGAATAAATTAAATACCACTTTAAAAATCCTTTCCTAATTGTATTTGTCGCAATAAATTAACAAACAATGGAAGGGAGGCCATAAACAGCATCTAGACAGAGTTTTTGACAATACTGATAGGCCTACATGCAAAATACTGATGTTTGCATCTTCTCTCCAGACTTTATATAAAATATCCTTTCTTACCTTATGCTCTTGTAATAGTTCATTCATGCTGCAGTCCACTGAGAAAAAGCTTCCAACAAAAGCTGCTGACTGAGCTGAAACCTGGCCAAAGATTAAACCACCCATCCGGTGGCCCGGTCACCCATCCTCACTCCACTGGCTCGGCTGGGGTCTGTTTGCCAAGGCTGTTGAGTCTGTGGTATGGAAAAAGAGCCTTGCTGGTGGTTTAGAGTTAAGCCTCACCAGCGTGCCAGGTGAAGCCCCCAGGATTACCCTAATGCTGCCGCACGGACCAGAGGGGAAGTCATTAAGTCTGCCATAGGAGTTATGGCTTCAGAGTTACATTGGTCAGATAGATGAGTTAAATACTCCACAAATAAAATCTTTGCTAAGCCATCTCACTGTACATGTGTATGTGTGTCAGTGCACTTACTATATGATATTAAACTATTACTGTGAAAAAAAACAGCAGTTTGCAATCTACCAAAAACATATATAGGCAAGAATATTAATATTGATAATAATTATGTCATAATTTGTTGGTTTGATTTATTTCTCTTTTCTGTACAGAATTATTCTGATAATAGTTCTGGAATAATTCACCCAAAAATTCTGTCATTTACCCTCATGCCAATCTAAACTCAACTGATTGTATTTCTTCCGCATAACACAAAGGAAGAGATTTTGAATTTGAAGAGTGTTTAGCCGCTTTTGTCCATACAATGAAAGTCAAAAGTATAGGTATTCAAGGGCAGGCTTTAAGATGGTTTAGATCCTACCTTTCCGATCGCTATCACTTTGTCTATTTAAACGGAATCATCTCAGTTACGTCCAGTAAAGTATGGAGTGCCACAAGGATCTGTCCTAGGCCCTCTGCTATTTTCAATATACACATTGCCCCTTGGTAATATTATTAGAAAATACTGGATTAGTTTCCATAGTTATGCTGATGAAACTCAACTATATATTTCAACAAGGCCAGATGAAACTTCTAAATTATCTAAGCTAACAGAGTGTGTTAAAAATGTAAAAGACTGGCTGACCAATAATTTTCTCCTATTAAGTTTGGATAAGACCAAGATATTACTTATTGGACCATAAAACATATATTTCCCATGTTACAAAAACAGCATTCTTCCATCTTAGAAACATTGTCAAGTTACGGAACATGTTACCTGTTTCTGATGCAGAAAAGCTAGTTCATGCATTCATGACCGCTAGACTGGATTATTGTAATGCACTGCTAGGTGGTTGTCCTGCATCTTCAATAAAGAAGCTACAGGTAGTCCAAAATATGATCATATTACCCCAATTTTACATTCTCTGCACTGGCTACCTATTAAGTTCTGTATCAGTTACAAAATATTATTACTTACCTATAAGACCCTTAATGGCTTAGCTCCTGCGTACCTAACTACTCTTCTATCACGCTACAATCCATCACGCTCCCTAAGGTCGCAAAACTCTGGACTTTTGGTAGTACCTAGGATAGCAAAGTCCACTAAAGGAGGTAGAGCTTTTTCGCATTTGGCTCCCAAACTCTGGAATAGCCTTCCTGATGACGTTCGGGGTTCAGACACACTCTCTCTGTTTAAATCTAGATTAAAGACACATCTCTTTGGCCAAGCATTCAAGTAATGCATCTCATAATCTTGTACTGCAGTTACATCTGTCACATTTTCATTCTTTTGCTTGGGTTGAACACATCATTTTTTGCTTGGTTGGAACAGCAGCTACGCTAATTTTTCTCTATTACCTTCTCTGTTTCTGCCATTTCTGATTGGCATCCCATGGTAACTAGCAATTACACAAGCTTCAGTCTGGATCCAGCCCTTACAAAGACCTGAGATGACCGAACACCTGAGAAGAGATGATGCCAACCCCCCAGAAGACCTCAGATGATGCCAAACCTCAGACAACATACAAAACTACCAAATTTTGCTATAAGTTTGATCGCAACATATAATCATTGCTGTTAGTGTTCACTGTCTGTTTGATTACATGACATTAACTAACTGCATGATATGTAACGTACATTTCTGCCATATGGACATCAACTTGCGATCACCACTAAATATTGTAGAAACTTTTTTTTTTTTCTTTAAAGCTGCTTTGCAATGATTTGCATCGTGAAAAGCGCTATACAAATAAACTTGAATTGAATTGAATTTAATTTAATTATTAGTTCACATTTTTTTAGCAAGTAGAAGGCCTTTTAGTATCATTGTACAGACATCTATCTTCAGGTCATGGTTCACGTCTTTTTGCTGTGAAATCTTTACCGATTTTTACAAAGTAAACATAGGAATAATAATAATACTGTATTATTTCAAGACGAACACTTCCTGGACAGAAGCAACATAAGCTTACTTGATTATCCATGCATCTCTTTTTTTTAGAAAAATCGTGTTCAAATTTGAGTATCAAATATGATCCATCAGGCATTTGAGGAACATTTATTTGTTCATTTCTCAATAATCATTTTATTTTATTGTATTGCATTGTATGTTTTAATAATAAAACTAAACATTTAAATATCATCTTACAAAGACAGTATTAGGAGATATGAGTGACAACTGATATTTATATCATTTTATTTATCATTTACATTACATTACAAGCTATCAGAATTTAATCTCACTTTTTGGCCATATAAAGCATCTGCACCAAATTGCAAATTTTTGCTCAGTTTTGGTCTCTGGATAAAACTGAGCCATTCGTTAATCCATATTCTGACTATATCATACTATATGATCCACAAAAGCCTGATGTATCAAATATAACTAAAAAAAAAAAAACATATAGGCCTTCTGTATGCAATGTTTTTTTAGATTTCTATATACTATATACAGTGGTGTGAAAAAGTGTTGGCCCCCTTCCTGATTTCTTATTTTTTTGCATGTTTGTTATATATTATATTTGCTAAATGTATGTTATAGGCCTAACTGTGAAGCTCAATAAAATATATATTTAAAATAAAAAATCTATTTAATTTGAACCTTCATATTCCAAAATATATTTCAAAATGTATTTCAGGGT